TTTATTTGACGTTTTACTGGTTGTACTCAAACACGATGGCACGATTTGTAATATTGTTTTTGTGTTGCTTCCCTTATTATAATGTAAATCACAGTAAGCACAAATACAAACTGGCATAGATTAAATACAAACGCACCTTTACACACCATAATTCTCGGCCCATAACTTGAGAACAGCACTATAACATATCGCCGCATCGATCGAAAAGCAACTGCATGACGTCACAAAAATTCCCGCGCTTAAAAAAAATTCTTTAGGGCAACTTAAATGTTGGCTTTTGAGTGTTGATATTTGGTATGCGTTATTTCTATACATAAACAAATGTGTTGAAGGAATAAAAAAAATGTTCAAGTTCCCTATTGGGGATTTTAGAGTAACGAGTGGAAGAAAATGATTTTTATATATTTTTATATTTTATATATTAGAACTTGCGACCTATGATCTTTATCAAAACAAGTTTGCCTGCCTTTATCTCACTCCAGATCTTGTCGTGTTTATGTCTTTGTCTACCAATTAGTTGTGACTGGCCTCGCAATAAATTCTATTAGTGGAATAACTCCAACAACCTGCTACAAGCTACTGCAATACTACTTGCAAATCTTCGCGATTCATCAACAACCACGAGGAAACCAGAAGATTTGTAAATTCTAATATTTCACAACACACATTATAGCATCCCATCTAACACTCTGGTCTTTGTTTAATATAATAAAGTGGATGCTTCTTCTTTTTGATCTATAGATTAAAAAAAAGTGTTATCTTAAATTCTCTAAAGTACTCTCTTTAATACTGTGATCCAGAACTTTCTATTATCTTTTATCATTGGTTAAGAAAGTAGCTGACTTTTCCTCTTTCTGAACTTATTTTTCATAACGAAAACCGAAACCGAAACGAGCTGTCAATCGAAACATTGACTGCGTTTGTTGAAACACATTGACTGGTAATTTGCTATTGCAAATAAATAACGCGCCGTGTTGTTTCAAGTGTACAAACAAAAGAAAAACAATATTTTTATAGAAACGGGCCAATATCAAAGTTGTTAATCAGTTATTTTCATAGTGCCTCCCACACACACACACCTGCAAAATAAGGAAGAACCTCTCATCGTTGCCGGCGATAAGATAGCCAGGATATTATAATTCACTGCCGTTATCTTCCTGTATTTGGCGCTTAACTACACATTGTTTGCTTGTCGATCGACGTACATTTCGTTCGATTTGAACAACGCTATCAGCCGGTGAATATATAATGTACGGGGCGGCTCTTCTGGATGAAGAAAGGGGGCGGTTGTCCTATGTAAGCTGCTTTGATACAAGCTACCAAGAAAAATATTTATATGAGTTTATATAACACTTAGTTTTTGTCTTAGATGATGGCAGGATGGTTAGGAAGACGACTATAACATCTTATGGTCCATGTAGAACTTAGAAAAACCTAAACGTGTACTGGTATCTTTTAGAATATCAGACATCACCATTATGGCCATTCTTTGGGTCATGGTTAGTGTTTTACACTCAATATAGGCTTTCAAAAAGTAATAAACCTCTACATCGAGTTTAAAGTATGGCCTTAACATTGTAAGTAGCTTCTCCGAAAATATATGATGGATTAAACAGTTTATGAGTGTAACTAAAAATATTCCTATTTCTGACTGCTGTTGCGTGTTTCTGTTTTTGATAGTCACCGCCGTGCATTCAAGTTTTCATAATCATTTCATGAGAAGTTTGGATAATTATTTGGGCTCAACGAATAATAATTTAATCCTACATACACAAGCTACATGTATCGCATTCGACAACCCACGGGAACTGCCCTGTCAGGATTTTTATTAACTGTGTGACTGAGGTTAAGAGCGAACTTTTGATGCTGAGGAATAGAGCGTTCTACAACTATGAGCACCGCCTGAATGCAGCTCCTTTTTCTGCATACTGTTTGATATCCCAAGAGGTGGATTTTATAATACTTTCTACATTAATTCAAATACATTTTAACTTCAGAACCTGTATGTACAGATGCGCAAAAAACATTTGACTTCAGGCTAGCTCTAAGCTGAATACTGTGTTTGAAATATTATAGCAGCAGATAATCGTATTCACCATGTTTTCTACTCAGTATTTGGATGGTTGTTTCACTTCGCTTATGGGTATTTTCCCTCTGTTTTTTAGTAAAATCTCCATTCCGATTTAACGCTCATATAATGGCATTAGTTTTAAAATTTATATTCTGTGGAATTTTATAAAACTAAACGATATACAAAGAAAGTCAATTAAACCATCTTTCATGTGACTTGAGAAGTTTACCAAACTCGTTGCATACTGTACTTTTCCTACGACCGTTAGTTTTGGGGCACTTTTTTGCAAAACAACCCGAAAACATTCATTAACATGACGGTCAACTGAGAAACGTCAAAATTAAATCCATGTATCTCCAAATCCCCCAAAAATATCCTCTCAATCCTCCCCAAAAATATCTCCAAAACCCGTGTGCTAATATCCCGGAAGTGGTTCCGATCCGTGGGAAACGAAACTCACGCGGGAAACTGACACTTGTGTATAATTTGGTATTTTGCAGAAGGGAGTAGAAAAAAAAATTAGAGATACCATTTGTTATCATTTATATTGCAGCAAACAGATTGACGACACAATTTCTGACGACAAATCCTTAAATTTTTCTTTTCTTTTCTGAGTAATTTCGCATGCAACCTAGTTTCTTACTGGGGCAGATGAGAGTGGGTATCTGATCTTTCACCCTTTGAACCTGTATAAGGCGGGGCATGTGCAACCTTTCACACCTCGCTGAAGTTAGCAAGGTTCAAAGAGAGAGACAAGGAAAAAGAGAGAGATAAAGGAAGAAATTTACTTCTTTAGCTGATGAAAACGAAATCAACTAGTGATCAGTGATCTCTAGTTAGAATTAACGAATCGGAACGAATTAACGATTTTTGGAAATAGGAAACGGAAAAAAATTCAATAAGCAATGCGGAAATGTTTTACTTTCTGCAGTATCACCATAAAATAACATAAAGTCAGGGAGAGGGGAGGGCCTTAGGGTGCTGCTACAATATAGCAATCAAACCACCGATGTAAATTGGGTATATTTATTAACATCATTTACAAACTCCGAACCTCGAACGCTCACGACGAAATGAACATTATATTACGAATATAATCGATCTTTAATTAGTGAAAAGCAAATATGCATTTACGTTTTGGTTGGTCTATGCTATGTTTTATTTACAGTCTATCCCTATATGTATATGTTAATACGAAAATGTCAGTCTCGTACAGATATTAGCTGCTTATGGAAAGAAAGAATTATAACAAAGTTTTCACTGGTTTGTGTTATCAACAAATTTTAAAAATATTAAATGTTATTTGTATTGTATTGTATTTGTTGTAGTGTAGTGCGCAGTGGCGAGCATGTGGCTGTCCTTCCTTTAAGATGTTGTGGAAAAATTATAAAAGTAGCACAGACAAGTGTGCAGAAGACATGGTATTGCTGTTATATGTATAGGTTGTCCAAATAGTGGGTCAAAGTAATAAATCTCTTTTGTTATTAGTCTATTTATTATAGATGATATTAAAAAAAAAACAATTTAAAATTATTTTCAAATATACGGCGTGATTCATAAATATGTGGAAAATCAAATTTATATATTGTTAATTGGAACACCCAGTATATTATGGCATTAACAGGTATTACCTTTTATACTCAATCATCCAATGTGGGTTTGTTATAGTTTATTGCGTATTTTCGCATTTATTTATTTTTTTTATTTTTTATTTATTTTTACCATTTTGAAAAATATTGCTTTTTGTGAAAAAATCAAATGGAATATTCTTTATATTATACTTCCATTAAATACTCCTATTAATGCCCTTTCAATTTTATTAATCATTCCCTATAACTAAACAGTATTTTTTGGGGTATACACATTTTACAAAATATTGCCTGAACGTGAAAAATCTACAGAGTTGAATTACGCATAATTCTTTCACAGAATAGCATTAGTTATATATTAATGCAAAATGTAATACGAACATAATTTACTAAATCCGACATTTTAAGAAAAATAAAATTATGAACTGAACAACTTTGAAAAAATAATTAAAACAGTATTTTACGCCAGGTAAACTACTAAAAATTGACATGCCAAATCATCACCATCCTATATCAGGTTGTCACAGATCTTTTGTTTAGGTAAGGCAACATTTTTGTCACAAAATTAAAAAACTACCTATTAATTTTTATTATAATTTGCCAAATTGTTGGTGTTTTAATGATAAAAATGTATATACCTCAAAAAATATTATGCTTAGGTGTACGAAATTATTAAAACAATTAAAGAACATGAACGAAAGGATGTTCTATTTGATTTTTTCCCGACAATTAATACTTTCACTTTGATTCACCCTGTATAAACGATTGGAACTTACTTGTGTACCGTCTCGCTTCATAAAATTACAGCTGTCAAGAATATAGGGTATTAAACTCTAAATTATAAATTTAATTTTACTTTAGGTACATAATTATTCAATATGGATTTCTTTTATTACTTACTGCCTTAGTAAGTAAGTACCAACATTTTGCTCTATACGATATACAGAACGGGATTTTGCACATATTGCATAATCTCTCCTCAAAACAATGCACGAGGATTTTTTTTTTTAAATATCCGCAAATTGTACTACTAATGCAAGAATATACCGGCTGTTCCATTTAAAAAATATAAATATTTTAATTTCTCTCTTTTAGTCTCTAATTTTGTATTTTTTGAGAGATGATGATGAGATATATTAGACAATGTAGACGACGAAAATTATAACATAAAAGAACCTAAATAACCGAGTAAATAAAAACCTAGGGAAAAACTATCCGAACCGCGGTATTCCCGGCATCGACCATTTATCATAATTACCATCCGAGATGCCTCATTTCTCACCCGAAAACTTGCTAAACATCTCGAGGTATCTGCGTATGAATTCCCCCGCCAGCTGCTTTCAGGGTTCCACCTGATCCTCACCGCAAAAGTACGAGTTTTGCATCGAATACAGGCGGTCGATGGGGTTCAGACCGGGCTGCGAATGTGGCGCGTTCTGATGAGCCGCCGGAGGTTGCAGGAACATCGAGGACTGATTCGATTCGATGGCGGACGTAAAAGATAATCCGATATAGCTATCGTCCCTTCGTTTCAGGTCGAGAGCGGCGAACGAATGCAGGGGTATGTTGTTGTTGCTTTTCACGTAAGGGTTGTCGTTTTCCAGTTCTTCCTTAATGCGGAGGAAACCGGAGGTTTCCGGGTTTTGCATCGCGGCGTCGTCGCCGACGGTCGTCTCGGTATCGCTGCAGCTGTCGTTGAAAAACGGCGTCGAATGCGGACCTGCGATACCGAAAGGGTCGGTAAATTAAAAATTAATTAAAACCGGGCAGCGCGAAAAGGCTCCCCGACACTCACTCGGCTCCTCCTCTTTGACATTTAATTTCTTTTCATCGTTTTCCGGGTCCTTGCCCCCTTTGTTATCCTGCCTCGCTTTCTTTTGCATTTTCTTCATTTTCGCGCGTTGATTTTGAAACCAAACCTTTCGGAAACGATTCGTATTAGTTTCGAGTGAAATGGTATCAAATGGGAAACGGGCACCGACGTAAAGGGTTTTCGGTGCGTCGCGCAGAAACAGAAACAAAGCGAGAAAGAAATATTTTAATTTCGACAGGTAGGGAGAGGCCTTTTTCTCTACGTTTATGAACAAATTCATTTAAACATCAGATATTTCATTTGAAGAGAAAAAAAAACATTTTTTGCAGTAAACAGAAAATAACAAAACATAAACAAAATTAGTCATGGAGCAATATACAACTGAACAACCTGTAAAAATTGCGCAAGCCTGTTATGAAAATGGTCGATCAAGAAAAAATGCATTTCGGGCTCTATGTGGTTCAAAAATTTGAGCAAACCGGATCTGCAACTAACCTCAAAGTCTCTCAACGTGCTCGTGCAAGTCGGTCAGATCAAAATATTGCCACTGTTCGCGAAAGTGTAGCCCAAACACATCGATTCGTCATCGATCGCAGCAAGTGGGCCTTACGTATTCAACCACACAGCGAATTTTAACAAAAGACTTGCATCTACACCCATATAAAGTCCAAATAACTCGGGAGTTGAAACTTCGAGATCATCAACAGCGCCGCGTGTTTGCAGAATGGATACGAGAACAAGGGGTTCATTTTTCAACGAAAATCACCTTTAGCGATGAGGCACGCTTTTAAAATATATTTATACAATTTACAAACTAACGGAACACCTCAGTGAGGCACAAAGACAAAAGACATATATAGTAATCGCCTGCAATACCGAAAACTCACTTGAACTATCCTGACGCTTAATCCGGTATCTTTGGCCAACGCTTCCCGTACTTTCCTGCAAGGTTTCGGGCTGACTTCAAAGGACGCTTTGAAGGCACGACGCTGCTGAGTGGTCAGTATCGTCCTGGGCCGCTTCGGTCCTCTACGTCCGTCGTGGGACCTGCTCGTTTGCAGCAGGTCGTCGCAGATAAATTCGCCTGAAATTCATTTAATTTTCCAGGAACTCCACTTCACTCATACAAATAACGTACCGTATCCAAAACCTTGCATCATTTCCACCTCTTTCTCGTAGTCCACCCGGCAGAATAACTGACCTTGCTTTATGACGTATAGGTCGCCTTTTTGCAGTCTGATCCCGCAGACCACGCAGACGAAACACCTTAGGTGGAAGATACTCTCGCTGGCTCGCATTACCAGCTCCTCGGGAGATACCCTTTCGGAGCATCCCAGGCATTTTTTTATGAACAACCTGCAAAAACACGTAATTGGGTGATGGTATCGTATTTGTTCAGCCGAACATTTTCCTTTGTGGGTTTTTTTTTTCAAATCTGACAGCTAGTAATTAGAATGGTAACAACAATAATAATTGTTTTTGCATGAAGGGCAAATGTTTCCCTAACCCTAATGCAGTTTTCTCTAGAAATAAGTCCCGGAGTTAAAGCTACGGATTCGCTTAGAAATTCCAAAAATATGCATGTTCAAAGTTGCTTAATACTAAGCCGACATTTTTTTTTTAAATATATGGTATATTATCTAGTTAAAGTAACCAGGATACCAGATTTCTATAGGTTTTGGTAAAGTCATATTTTACAGGAGAAAATTATTGATAATCATATAAATAGAGAGATAGATAGTAATTTTTACTAAGCATATTTATTTAAAATACGGCAACCCTATTTGCCCATTCTTACATTATTGTTTTATTGGTTGCAAATCTATTGTACTACGACCGTAGGGTTTTATATTATGCATATGAAACGTCATTGAAAAAACTGGAAAGAATATTTTTTTCTGACCAGCGGCCCGTGCAAACGGACTGAATCAAAGATCAAAGCAAAAGTATATAAACAGCAATTTCGGCCTAGTGTACGTCGAGTCACGTGTCGACTGGCAAAGGATATTAGAACGTACAATCAACAGGCCCACGGCTACAGTTTGATTTGACGGGTGTCCCTCCGCTGTGTAAACACTGGCCCGTGGGTCTCTCCCGGGGAGTTGACGTGAGGCCCGTGAGACTTTTTGCGGATTTACAGAGAAAAAAAGAGCAACCACCAAAGGATCTCAACAAATCGTACAATAGAATATCAGTATTCACTTTATGTATGTAATATTGTTGAAAATGTAGTCAATCGAATAGAAGTTAGGACTATGTAAGGTATGTTCATAGATTTAAGAAAGTGACTAACTGATACGAATTAAGGAAAGACCCGGGCAAGCTGTGAGAATGAAATATGGCCGAATAGGTCCGTACTTTGTTTAGAATTTAATTATTTGGGGTTTTGTTAGGAAAGATACTAAAGAATATTTATTTATTTATGTATGTATTTATGTTTAAATCTAAAATAAAAATTATTTTTATTACCTACTTAAATTACTTAAAATTAATCACATAATATATCAGTATCACTATCGCTATCATCGCCTGTTCTAAGTATTACTTGTTCTATATTATTTGCAATATGGATATACGCTTGTTCTGCTTTTTCTATATGTTTAACAGAATTTGCCCAACTTTGTGGAGGAATGTTAAAAACTTCGATTTCTATAAGTTTGGGGACATTGGAGTTAACACGGGGAAAACATTGCCCTGAGGTTTTGCATAATAACAGAAGTATTCCTTTTGTAGGTTCAAGCTTTGTAAAATCTCAATTAATTGCTTTTTGGTATTATCTTCGTGAAAATAAATGTCGTTATTATACATGTAGTTTTGGATTGTTGCTTTTGTGTCACATGAGGAAGGGGTTTTAGTCAACTGTCTACTGTGATAACTTGCATTGTCCATTACAATGGCGGTATTAGGAGGAATGTTTGCATTGTATGTTAATGACCACCTTTGGATGCAAAAGCAATTGGTCACTTTCTTGTATCTATGAACAGACCATACCAATAAGACTACTCACCTTACCTGTAAGGAATAACACTTTCAGTACAACAGTGAACAGTATATTATATTCAATTAATAAAATACAGTTCAACAATAAAAACAGATTGAGTTTATGGATGAGCAATAATCTTATTGCATTGTATGTTAAAGCAATTGGTCACTTTCTTATATCTATTAACAGACCATAGATATTCTTGAGACAAGGAAAAATTTTACTCCCCAAGGAGATTTTAAGATTTCTGTTCCCTAAAAATTTCTATGGAAACCGAAACTTGAATTCAGGGAATAGAAATGACACAGGGATTCTACTTTGCCAAAGTTGTCACACAGCATTTCCACCGATGAATAGTATATTATTCTATTTGTTTAATAGTCCACTGATCAAAGAAAGTGCACGGTTCGATGGTCCAAGAAGTAGTGCCACTATGGGGATTTCAGATTAAGACGGTAGTACAATGAAACATTACCCCACTGTTTTCAATTTTGTTTTTAATTGTTGCTTATGGTGTAAAAGAAGAAATAAAAAATCAGAAATTAATGTTATATTGTAAATTTTGTTATCTTCTGCTAAAATGCAAATTTTACAATAGACGCTACTGAAATTACACTTAATGAAGATTTGTTTGATAAATTGAAAATATTATTGAAATATGTGGAGTTTGCCTTTAAACAAATGGTTTACATGTGAAAAATTTGGCAAAGTTAAATTAGAACCAAAATTGTTTAGATTTTTACAGTTATTTATTGGTTTATGACAACTCAAATTTCGATAGATGTTTCGAAATTTTGTTGCTGGGTTTTCTTATGTATTTTATTGTTTTCTAAATGTTGGGTCAGTGTTTCCGTTCAGTACGGTAATATGAGGTGGATAGATTTCATGGTTATTTAAGACTATTTTTTTAGTTATAATCTTATCTTTGAAAGAGGGATCGTAACCATTGTTAAAAGCTGTTTGTTTGGTAATATTAAATTCTTTTTCAAAAATTTCATTTGGAAACTGGTATAGTAAGTAGCCTGCGGATAAAAAATAAAAATCAGACATTTTGTGTACGCTAGGGTGGTTTGGTTATATTTTAATCTAGAATAAAGACGTTATCATTAAAATTATGCCATTCATTTATCAAGCAAGGCTGGAGCTACTGGCCCTTGTAAATATATTTCTACACTACTTTTACTTTTGACTACGTACGTAATACGAGGTATGTTCTAAAAGTAAAGTGATTTTTGCAAATTGGGACGGCGATTTTCAATATTTTGTTTTGTTGTGTTCACAGTTTCAGCCAGTTTGCAGGTTTACTTTTTTTGTGAGACAGAAACGTTAACCTCATACATTGAAGTCATGTTCGTTCTTATGTTATTAAGAATTGGGTTTGCCTAGAAAATGATTTCGATGACTTTCTTTCCAGATTTAGTTTCCATAGAAACTTTTTGGTCACTTTCTGGGTTAGCGCAATTCACTCGCATACAACAGCATTGATTTGAAAATATTACAAATTAGATCGGAATAAAATAAATAGTCGTGAACAATATTTACAAAATGTTTACTACAGTAATAGTAAATCAAAACCAAATGGTTTAATATTTGACCGTCAGACGACGTATCGCTTACCTTGAAACCCCACTTACATTTCATTATCGTCAAAATACCTAGTAGTTACTATCAACTCTAATAACATGAATGCGGGAAAGGAAACAAAAAGATTTGATGATTTCGTATATGACAGAAAAGCTTCAAATATTAGTGGCCACAGCAGAAGGTTTTGTCAGTACAAATAGCTAAATAAATTTTCTGTTTGAAACCTGAAAAGGATCCATTATTTCCCTGGTTTTTATATAGAAATGTTTCCGTTCTGTAAAATTTAACAATAATGACCCTAAATGAAATTTAAATTAAGTTATTTGATGCTTAACATTAGGGTTGCCAAATTTTAATTTTGACGACATTTTACCGGTCTCAATTTTCATAATCATTTCATTAAATGGTAAAAATTACTTATTCGCTTATTGCAATCTTATCGTCATTCAACTCGTTTATACGCATATATACGGGAGTCAATAACGTGAGGCATGTGAATATATCTTGGAATCCGAATTACACCGACAAAAGGGTAGAGGAGTATTCTCGCCTAACTAGTGACCATTTTAAACTGCAATGGCGTAGATCCGGGTGAGCAACTAAATTACATTTTACATTTATTTATTGATTATTATATTGTTTTTCTGAAATATATTCGGTCTTTCGAAAACAATGTGATTTTTCTAAATATTTATTCACGTTTCGATCGTAATTTCGATCTTTTTTAAAATATTCTTATTTTATATAGCTGACATATATAATATATATAAATTTGAAGCTTGTAGGTCAAACCGTTCGGAAGTTATCGGCGCAAAACCCTGGAACAGAGAAGGGAGAAAAAAAAATTTTTTTTGACATTGATCATTTGTGTACCAATGGGGGTCCCGTAGGGCCAACCGTTACCGACATCTCGAGCTTAGCGAGGAGCGCGTATACTTTCGAAAACTTCGCCCTTTAAAAAAATGTTTCCGTCCACAGCATTACCAGTTGGGACGTATACACCCGCTCCTATCTAAATGCACGCCCCGTAATTAATAACGCATCATCTTCGAAAGTGACCGACGACCACGTATGAAACCTCTCTCGTTATCCTCCGATCGAATTCCGTTTCGAATCCGAACACCTGTTTGCCGCAAAATCATATTCCAAACCACCCTTCGAAACAAGTGACGTCGCGCCTAATGATATGCACCACTAGCGGATCTTTGATCGAAATTAAACGGTCGTTTCGACGGGCCGCGTATAATATGATGACGAATGGGGTTGCGTACGTGGGGTCGCTTTGGGGTGCGGGAGCACGTGCTATGTGTCGACGCGTATTTTTTTTTGGCTCGAAATTTAACGAAACGGCTTTGAAGTGACGCAACGCGTTGCAAATTTGCAACAACCATTTGCTTTCTAGAAAAGGAGATTGTTACGATAAACTGAACGAGCTAAAAAACACCAAGGAGAGAAGATTGGTTGAAAAGGTTGAAAAGAGCAACGTTTGACTCGTCTATTGATCTTTATTGCGAAGTTAAATAAATATATTACTTTCATCCATTTGGAATAAATAGATTTTGATTAAAAAAGCCATCGAGTGTTAAATCTGCTTACAAATACATTCTGACATTAAATATCAAGAATTCCTTTGAACTAAATAAAAGAATTAAATTAAATTAGCTAGCTAGAAGGTTTTGTCATTTCTTATTTATTTAGCTTTCGCATTTGTTTTAGCAAGCCAACCTCTGTCCAGAACAAGTTAAGTTACTCGCTTGGCTTGTATTAAAATTTGCACTTAAATAGTTAA